TGACTAAAGTCACTGTGGGCTCTTCTTGCATACTTCCTGGCCGAGCGCTGGAATCAGCCATGTCCCGGGCAGCACAGTTTCTGGGATTGGAGGATGGTCTTCGCCAAGATCTGGATGCTGCTGTGCTCAGTGGCCCTGGGCCCTCACTGCTTCTACTCCTTCACAGCTGTCTTTTGCATAAAAGACCAAACCCTTTGCCATGTCGAAACTCACAGGACCCTGCATGACCGGCCCTGCCAGTCTTGCTCACAGCCCCTCCTCCGTCCTCTCTGTCCCTCCCCAGCACTGTCTAGACACAGGACCTTCCGGTCTGTGCTTCCACTACACAGAGTTTGTTCCTGTCTCCTGCGGTGCCCTCCAGCCGGAGTTCCCTTCCTTCTGGATCTTCCCAGAGCCGGGTCCTTCTGATGACGTAGATCCCAGCTCAAGGCCATCCTCTCTGGGAGACCTTTCTGCACCAGGGAATCTAAAATAGCCCCTCACACCCTGCCCCGCAAGCACTCACTAGCCCACCACTCTACTTAAGTTCCCAAATCCAGGATTATCTTGGTCATCTTGCTTATTGTCCGTGTCACCTCTGTGAGAGCCCACAGCTGTGTCTTGCTCCCTGGTGTGTCCCCAGCACCTGGAACAGTGCCTGGCACATAGTAGATGCTCAGTAAGCACTTGTTGAATAACAGAAAACGAGGCTGTGATGCCATAGATTTCAGATGAGGAAACTGAGGGCTTCTGAGGTGTGCTCAGAGACACCCTGTTATGAGATAAAGGGTGCTGGTCCTAGCCTGTGGGACTGAGGACCCCTGGGGCCCACCCTGACCAGGGTGGGGGCCAGGCTGATGGAAGGTGGGGAGGCCCTGGCCAAGGCACCACCAGAATGACCCAGGGACTGAGGTGGATTCCAGGCCCTTGAGCCCTATGAGGCTTCACTCGTCCATCAGAGCCTGGGGTTCTCTCCTTTTCCGGTTTCCAATGGGGCTAGGGTCCTGGGGGCTGGGCAGAGCGTGGCTCCCAGTCAGCAGCATTGGAGCTTTCGAGCGGGGTTGGCCACTGCTGAGAATATGAAGAAGTTGGGGATCCCCTCCCCGGAAAAGTGGGTGCCACTGCATGCCCCAGACTGGGGACAGACAGCAAGTTAAGGTGTACAGCAGGCTCCTGAGGTGGCTGTGGCCCCAGGCCCTGGGAGGCTGCAACACCTGCTTTGTGTGTCAGAGACTGTGGGGAGGGGCCTGGGAAGAGAAGAGGAAGGTGCTGAGGTCTTGATGCAGTGGCGGGTGGCGGTGCTTTCCAGCCCTCATGGCATGGGCTCCAGAACCTCCGGCCTCTACTCTCCAGGGCTCCCTCCCTTTGCCTGTCTCGGGGTCTCTGTCCGCTTTCTTTGGGTCTTGTCTCTCTTCCTCTCCCCACTTCTCTCTCTCTCTCTCTTTCCCTCTCCTAGTTTCATCTTCCTCTGAGTCTCTGTCCCTTTCCTTTGGCTCTTATCTCTCTCTGACTCCTCTCTCTCTCTCTCTCTCTCTCTCTGATCCTCTCTGTCTCATCTCTCTCACTCCAGTCTCATTTCCTGTCCATCTCCAGGTCTCTGTCCTATCTTGGATCTCATCTCTCTGTCTCTCTCTGCCTCTGTTTCTCCCCTTCTCCCAATCTCTGTCTCTTTCTCACATCTGTCTCCCTGTCTGTCTCCCTCTCTCTGGGTCTCTGTCTCTCTCTCTCTGGGTCTCCGTCTGTCTCTCTCTCTGGGTCTCCGTCTCTCTCTCTCTCTGGGTCTCTCTCTCTCTCTCTCTGGGTCTCCTCTCTCTCTCTCTCTGGGTCTCCTCTCTCTCTCTCCTCTCTCTCTCTCTCTCTGGGTCTCCATCTCTCTCTCTCTCTGGGTCTCTCTCTCTCTCTCTCTGGGTCTCCGTCTCTCTCTCTCTCTGGGTCTCTCTCTCTCTCTCTCTGGGTCTCTCTCTCTCTCTCTCTGGGTCTCCATCTCTCTCTCTCTCTGGGTCTCCGTCTCTCTCTCTCTGGGTCTCTCTCTCTCTCTCTCTGGGTCTCCGTCTCTCTCTCTCTCTGGGTCTCTCTCTCTCTCTCTCTCTGGGTCTCTCTCTCTCTCTCTCTCTGGGTCTCTCTCTCTCTCTCTGGGTCTCTCTCTCTCTCTCTCTCTCTGGGTCTCTCTCTCTCTCTCTGGGTCTCTCTCTCTCTCTCTCTGGGTCTCCGTCTCTCTCTCTCTCTGGGTCTCCGTCTCTCTCTCTCTGGGTCTCCGTCTCTCTCTCTCTGGGTCTCTCTCTCTCTCTGGGTCTCCGTCTCTCTCTCTCTGGGTCTCCGTCTCTCTCTCTCTGGGTCTCTCTCTCTCTCTCTGGTCTCTCTCTCTCTCTGGGTCTCTCTCTCTTCTCTCTCTCTCTCTGGGTCTCTCTCTCTCTCTGGGTCTCTCCTCGTCCTCTCTCTCTCTGGGTCTCCGTCTCTCTCTCTCTCGTCTCTCTCTCTGGTCTCCGTCTCTCCTCTCTGGGTCTCGTCTCTCTCTCTCTGGTCTCTTCTCTTCTCTGGGTCTCGTCTCTCTCTCTCTGGGTCTCTGTCTCTCTCTCTCTGGGTCTCGTCTCTCTCTCTCTGTCTTTCTCTTCTCTGTCTCTTCTCTCTCTCTGGGTCTCTGTCTCTCTCTCTCTGGTCTCTCTCTCTCTCTCTGGGTCTCCGTCTCTCTCTCTCTGGGTCTCCGTCTCTCTCTCTGGGTCTCCTCTCTCTCTCTGGGTCTCTTCTCTCTCTGGGTCTCTCTTCTCTCTTCTCTGTCTCTCTCTCTCTCTGGGTCTCTTTTTTTTTTCTCTTCTTTCTCTCTCTCTCTCTGGGTCTCTCTCTCTCTCTCTGGGTCTCTCTCCTGTCTCTCTCTTCTCTGGGTCTCTTTCTCTCTCTGGTCTCTCTCTCTCTCTGGGTTCTCTCTCTCTCTTTCTCTGTCTCTTCTCTCTGGTCTCTCTCTCTCTCTCTGGGTCTCTCTCTCTCTCTCTGGTCTCCTCTCTCTCTCTGGGTCTCTGTCTCTCTCTCTGGTCTCTCTCTCTCTCTCTCTCTCTCTCTCCCTCTGTCTCTGTCTCTCTCTCTGGTCTCCTCTCTCCTCTCTTGGGTCTCCTCTCTCTCTCTCTCTGGGTCTCTCTCTCTCTCTCTCTGTCTCTCTCTCTCTGGGTCTCCTCTCCTCTCTCTGGGTCTCCGTCTCTCTCTCTGGGTCTCTCTCTCTCTCTGGTCTCCTCTCTCTCTCTGGGTCTCTCTCTCTCTCTCTCTGGGTCTCTCTCTCTCTCTCTGGTCTCCTCTCTCTCTCTCTGGGTCTCCGTCTCTCTTTCTGGGTCTCTTCTCTCTCTTCTGGGTCTCCTCTCTCTTCTCTGGGTCTCTCTCTCTCTCTCTGGGTCTCTCTCTTCTCTTCTGGTCTCCGTCTCTCTCTCTCTGGTCTCTTCTCTTGGTCTCTCTCTCTTCTGGGTCTCTCTCTCTCTCTGGGTCTCCGTCTCTCTCTCTCTGGGTCTCCTCTCTCCTCTCTCTGGTCTCTCTCTCTCTCTCTGGGTCTCCTTCTCTCTCTGGGTTCCTCTCTCTCTCTGGGTCTCTCTCTCTCTCTCTCTGGGTCTCTCTCTCTTCTCTCCTCTTCTCTCTCTCTCTCTCTTCTGGTCTCTCTCTCTCTCTCCTGGGTCTCCTCTCTCTCTCTCTGGGTCTCCTTCCTCTCTCTCTCTCCTCTCTGGGTCTCTCTCTCTCTCTGGGTTCTCCCTCTCCTCTCCTCTCTCTCTCTCTGGGTCTCTCTCTCTCTCTCCTCTGGTTCTCTCTCTCTCCCTCTCTCTCTCCTGTCCTCTCTCTCTGGGTCTCTCTCTCTCTCTCTGGTCTCGTCTCTCTCTCTGGGTCCGTCTCCTTTCTGTCTCTCTCTCTCTGGGTCCGTCTCTCTCTCTCTGGTCTTCTCTCTCTGTCTTTCTTTGGTCTCCGTCTCTCCCTCTCTCGGGTCTCTCTCCCTCTCTTCTGTCTCTCTCTTCTCTGGGTCTCTCCTCTGTCTCTGGGTCTCTGTCTCTCTTCTCTGGTCTCTGTCTCTCTCTCTCTTGGTCTCTGTCTCCCTCTGTCTCTGGGTCTCTGTCTCCCTCTGTCTCTGGGTCTCTGTCTCCCTCTGTCTCTGGGTCTCTGTCTCTCTCTCTCTGGGTCTCTGTCTCCCTCTGTCTCTGGGTCTCTGTCTCCCTCTGTCTCTGGGTCTCTGTCTCCCTCTGTCTCTGTCTCCCTCTGTCTCTGGGTCTCTGTCTCCCTCTGTCTCTGGGTCTCTGTCTCCCTCTCTCTCTGGGTCTCTGTCTCCCTCTCTCTCTGGGTCTCTGTCTCCCTCTCTCTCTGGGTCTCCGTCTCTCTCTCTCTGAACCTCCCGTCTCCCAGGACGTGCCTGCTTCCCTTGGAACCTGCAGTGGGGTGTGTAACCTGCTTGGTTGAGCCCCCATGGCCCCTGGCCTGAAGTCTGAGACCCCCCTGGGGGTTTTGAAACCTGAAGTCCATGCCTGGTGGCCCCACCAGCTGCCCCACCCTGCTTGTGTCCCTCCCACCACGGCAGGACTGGGTGTGCTGGAGGGCTGTGCACTGCACCTGGTTGGAGTCAACCCTGGGGCCGTGCAGGCCACACCCTGACACCCAGCCTGTAGGCGGCAGCAGGTCTCGGGGTCTCAGGCTCCGTGGCCTGTATTCCTAGTTGGAGGCTGTGGCTGTTTCTCTGTAGCCATCTTTCCATGGGCAGGTGTGGCTGCTGGGGTGCATGTGGGCAGGGGCGGGAAGCCACAGGCCCCTCGGCTCTGGGAACCCTCTTGTCTGCACACCGGGCTCAACCTAAATGTTGGCGGGGGCTGCCTCGCGTGCAGGGGAGTGAGGACGCACATTGGCAGCTTACAGGTCTCTCTGGGGACACAGTACTCTGGGGTCTTATCTCCCTGAGAACCAGTAACGGGGCAAATTCAGGGCTTATTCTCAGCAAACAGGATGGCGCGGGGTGCAGCGCCTGAGTCCGGCCAGGCTGACCTGTCTGCGGCTTCCCTCCTGCACAGAAACCAGGCGATGCGGAAGAAGCTAATCTTGTACTTCAAGAGGAGGAATCACGCTCGGAAACAATGGGTAAGTCCACACCGTGGCCCCCATCAGGTTTCCTTGAGATCCGGGGAGAATCGAGCGCACAGGGGGCCGCACCTGCGGGGCCCTCTCGGTTCCACAGCTGTCTCCTCCCTGAGCGTCCAGGCTGCGGAGGAAAAGCCAAGGCCGGCCAGGAAAGGAGGAAAGACAATAGCTGCTTCCAGAAGGCCTCAGGGTGGGTGGGGGTGGGAGGCCCTATGGCCCCTCTTCCAGCCTGGAAGGGAAGAAAGCAAAATGTTGGCCTGGAAAATTAGTTGTTAAACCCTGGTCGTGGGACCTGTCCTGGGCTTTTCAGGCAGAAAGAGAGGTTTTGGAGAGAGGTGGAGGATCAGGGTGGGCTGTGTGCCAGGCAGCACGGGAGACAGTGGACAAGCATTGAGCCCCCTTTCCCTGAGCCTGCGTTTGTGGCCAGTGGCCTCATTCAAACAGAAAAGGGTGCTGATTCCTGCTTCTCACTGTAAGCTGTGCATCTCAGCCCACGGGAGGGAGGCTGGGTGTGCCAGAGGCACGTGGTGGTGGTTTAGGGCGGCTGTGGACATCACCCATTCCCCAGAGGAGATCAGGGTCGACTATTCTCCCAGTTGTCAGGGAAAGAAGCGTGGACTCAGATGGGCTTCAACAGGAAAGGAATGGGTGTAGCTGGAAACGTCTGTTGGGGGTGGATGGCAGGAATAGTCTTTCAACTCAAGTCTTGTTTTCATTTCATTTCATTTCACTTCACTTCATTTCATTTCATTTCATTTCATTTCATTTCATTTCATTTATTTGTTTTTGAGATTGAGTTTCACTCTGTCACCCAGGTTGGAGTGCAGTATCAGGATCTCTACTTACTGCAGCCTCTGCCTCTTGGGTTCAAGCAATTCTCTTGCCTCAGCCTCCCAAGTAGTTGGGATTACAGGTGCCCACCACCATGCCCGGCTCATTTTTGTATTTTTAGTAGAGAGGGTTTCACTGTGTTGGCCAGGCTGGTCTTGAACTCCTGACCTCAGGTGATGTACCCGCCTCAGCCTCCCAAAGTGCTAGGATTACAGGTGTGAGCCACCACACCTGACCCCTTCATTTCTATGCAGTTTTTTCAACTCTGTGTGTTAGAACATTGACAAACTGAACCTGAATTCCCATAGCAGCTGGGAGCCAGAGAGAGCTATCCTTTCTCTGACGGTCTCACAGATGCTCTGATTAGGCCAGGAGAGGACCGGGGTCCTGTGAACCAGTGGCTGATGCCGGGGAGATGGAGTGAGGCTGCCTGGTTTTGGCTCATGGGACCTTCTATAGAGTTGAGGATGATGTCGTTGAGTCCACCCAAGCCACGGGGCTGCTGGGACACGGGGAATGGGATAAGGCTGGGGAGACCCTGAGAAGGTCCCCACCTGGGGAAGAGGCGGCCTGGATGGGGACTACTGCCTTGGGATTCTTGGATAGGAGAAGCGATAAGAGCTGGGAACTAGCCTTGCTGGAGGGTGGAGGGGCTCCCCTTGTACCTGCAGCCCCCTGCCCCACCTCTGCCCTCCCTCCGCTGTGTTGGGGTGGGGCCTGTGAGGCAACTCCCTGTGTCCTTTCTGGGGTCAGATCTGCTGGGCACCAGCCTCCAGAGAGGCCCTCCAGGGCACAGCAGTGGCTCTGTCATGCCTGGTGCCTGTAGGTCTATGGTACACAGTAGGTGATGACTAAATGCTGCTTGAACGGAAATGGGCTGGGACAGAACAGTGCGTGGGACACCGAGGGTGTTAGTTGATCCAATGCCTTCGGGGCCTGGGTGCCAGCAGTCACGGAGTACCTACTGTGTGCGAGGCTCGCAGTTGGTGTGATGTAGGCCCTGTCCTCAGACCTGCAGGCTGCAGGGACAGATCGTGCGTAAGGACGAGGAGGATGCCCGCACACCCTGCCCTTCCGGTGCCTGTTGTGTTCCGGGTGCATCTTCCGAGTGCTCTCCATACATTAGGGCATTTAGTCCTGTGAGGTGGGAGCTTGGTCAGCCACATGTTTCAGATGAAGAAATCGAGGCACAGAGAGGTTAAGTAACTTGCCGTAGGTCACACAGCTGGGAAGTGGTGGAGCTGAGATTTGAATCCAGACTACCTGGTTCCTGAGCCCATGCTCTGAACCCCCAAGGGGCAGTTCCAAGAGAGCCCAGGAAGGTGTGTGGGGTATGCTGGTGTGGTGAGTGGCTGCACGGCAGAACTGAGCAGTGCCTGGGGAGGGGGACCCCAGGCAGGCATGGCGTCCTGGGCAGGTGTGTGGGCACGTGGGGCCAGGTGAGGGGCTTAGCTGGGGCAGGAGGTCCTGGCACCTGGCTCCGGAAGGAGGGGCTGTGCTGTATGGGAAGAGAGTCTTCCCTTGGCCCTGCCTGCCCTGGCCCCGAACTTGTCCGGGCACTAGATGGAGGAGACACTTCCAGCCAGATGCTGGTGCCTGGGAAGCTGTGGGCAGCCCTCGGGACCCAAGGCCTGCTCATAGATGAGGAGAGGTGGGCTGCCCAGCAGTGCCTTGCCCAGCTTCCTCAGACCCCCCCACCTTGACTGGATGGTACCCACGGGCACTTGGGCTGGTACAAGAGACTCCTGAAACGAGCATCCAATCTGTTTATCAAGTTAAGAGATATCCACGCAGGGCTGCCGGGTGCCCAGGAGACACTGGCCAGGAAACGGCCCAGTAATGCGGGGAGAAGAGCTGGGCAGAGGGGTAGGCTCTCGAGATGGGCTGGGGACCTCAGTGCTGAGGTGGGAGTGACCAGAAAGGACTGGCTTTGTGCAGATCTGAGAGTCAGGGTGTCAGGCAGAGGGCATAGCAGGTGCAGAGAGGCCCTGAGGCAGGAACCAGCTTGGGGCAGAACCTGGCAGGCCAGCGGCAGGAGCCATATCACCTGGAAACCTCTGCCCTCAGGCTAGGATGGAACATTCAGTTTTTATTCCGAATGCAGTGGGACACCGAGTCTTAATACATGTTTTTGTAGTAAAGAATCCAAAGTCCTTATTCTAAGAAATTTGACAGAAGAGTACAAGGAACGTCTATATACCCACCACTTAGAATCAGCCACGGTTACCATTGCCTTATATTTGCTCTGTGTGTATAATACAAATATAAACGTGTTTGTTGTTGCACTCTTGGAAAATAGGCACGGAGGCGCGGAGCTTCAGCCCTAATAAATACTCCCCCTTTGTCTCCTGTGAGGAAGGAAATCCTCTCATTTCCACCTAAAACGACTGCCAGTTCAGCGCTATCTTGCCACCTCCTTGACAGCGCCCCCCCCCCAACCCACCGTGGTTCCCCCCTTGGGGTGAAGGCTCTTCTAGGGAGGGCAGCAGAGGATCTGATTTCCATTTAAAAGGATTGCTGCAGCTGCTGGAAGGAGCTCAGGCTGGAGGTGGAATTGGGCGGGCTTGAGTTCTT